AACTGCGTGTCTTCTGCAAACAAACAGAAATTTTTTGACTTGTATTCTCCTCGCGCGTCTGTTGATTGTTTGCAGTTTTATTGTACTTTTTATTTAACTCATATTTCCTTTTATATCCGTAATTAACATATGAATATTTTCTGCTTCTTATCTTTTTTTTTTCGCCTTTTTCTTTCCTTTTTTTTTCCTTTTTTTAGCAAATGGGATCATGTCTTTGTAAAAGGAAGCGGGTTCCAGCATCGTTCGACGGACGGTTGCCCACAACATCGTTTCGAATTCGATCTCATCAGTCAGGCACCATTGATATTGTTCGTACTAGTCGAGGATACCACTCTACACCAAATCGTAAGTGTAAGCAAATATCCGTTAGATGTTTAGACGTGTTATATTATATCAAGGTTTTTATTTCCTTTATTATTTTGCCACATCTTTTTTGAGAGCTGTTAAACAGTGAAGTATTCTTTCTCTGACCTTTTTTTCTTCTTTTTTTGACAAAATTCTTCATAGCGACATGTCGTTTTATTGATTCGGTCATTTTGTATCGTTTCAATAAATATTCATCTGGACACAGTATGAGCGTTAAAATTTTTTAACAGTCAAAAAGTAAAACAAAAACGTCAAAAAAGTTGTTAGTTTTTTTTCATTTTTGTTAAATTTGTGCATTTTTACTGGATAGTCTAGCTGAACAATTAATTACCAGTTGAATGACATCGATCAGCAGAAAAAAAAAGGCTAGCATCCTTAGTCATTTGGCTGACAGTGATCTTTCAAACAGAGTTCCTTTATTTCATTTGTTTTAGAAATATCGAGCCATGAAGCCAGTGCAGTTGTCACCAGTGATGTCAAAGACCTTATAAAACAAACTTTACAGCTAATACGGTCCCTTGTGAATAAGTTTGTTTCATTTTTCTGATTATTTTTTTTTCACAAGTTGTTTTCGTAATGCTTGTTTTTAGTAAGGATCTTAATTTTAGTTTACTGTAATCTTTTTAGTGAACAAGCTCCTCCGAGTGCCCTTTTAAAACTTAATTTAATAGCGGATAAGGAAAGTGGCTGGCTAATGGTTGTTATGTGTTTAATTGATGTTGTACCTGATGATGATCCTCTTGGTCCCGCCGTTATGACGCTTTTTTTGGATGAAAGCCCATTGCCTACTAAGGTACCTCTTTTGAGCCTGAATTTCTCCTAGAGTGCTGTGCTCACCATATGGTACTTTAAATGAAAAAAAACTGGTAGTTTTTAAGTAATTCTGGTTTAGGAGACCGTTTTAAAGCTGATAACAAGACACATGCGGCTAGATGAAAGACGCCCACGGCCTAGTTCATGGTATCGAAATGTGTGTATCGTGCTAGGTTGTCTTGCTGAAAAATTGGCTGGTTCGGGCAGCGTGCAGATCTGTACAGATATAACACTAAATTTTCTTATAGACAATTTGGTTTGTTTTTTATTAACTTAGTATTCCTTAAAATCTTTTTTGAAAGTAAACATGTAATTTGTAATTCTTGTTCACCCACGTCGGTTTTTCTCGGTCTTAGTTTTCTTAGTGGTCTCTATTACATCTTTATGCTATTGGTTTTCATATTTTTGTAACGCACATGTCGTGAAGCCACTTTTACACCTGTTTCAGAAGTCATCGAATGATCCTCAGGTCATAATTCATTCTATGATTGCATTGGAAAAATTTGCTCAAACAAGTGAGAATCGCGCGACAGTGTGTCGTAGACTGAACCAGTGTTCGAAACACCCCCTTATGGTGATCTTTCTCGCAGATAAGATCCATATTGCTCTTTAGAGCTTACTCGCTCTTACCCGCTTTCTCATTTTAGCTGTTGGAAGCGTGGCGCGACAGTGTTCCCAACGATTATATGAAGCAGCAAGTTGCATTTTGTGCTCAATGGTCTTTGGATAACATATGTAGGTGTTTTTTGCCAATTTTTCAGCACATTTTTTTGCAATCTTGAAGTTTTGCCGTAATTTAAATATGTTTCTCCGTACCAAAACGTCGTTTACACAAGAAGGTTTTTTCTTCTTTTCTTTCTTCTTTGTCTTCAGATTTACTTTTGGGTTCCAGCCCGTTGTGGCTAACCGTTTCACTAATTTTCTCTTATCCTTCTTGCGTCATCTATGTGTGGGAACTACTTTAGTCTTTCATTTTTGTGATCTTTTTTATTTTATTTTTTATTTTACCCTATTTAGTAGAACAGAAAAGCGCTTACAATAAGTAAAGGGCTTTTTGCTTTACAAGAAGTTTTGTGGATTAATTTAACGAGTGTATTTTTAGTTGTTGTTGAGTCTCGCGAATTGTCTTATCTTCATTGCAATGTTGCTAATATTAATGCAATGCTTAATCATGAGGATGTCAGTGAATATTTGAAAATAGGATCTGATGGCTTGGAGGTACAATTTTTCAGTAACTAATTGTTTTTAGAACCTATTGACTTTAACATTTGAATTTTCTAGGCCAGATGTGATGCCTCATCATTTGAATCTGTTAGATGTACCTTCGAAGCTACAGAAGGAAGGTGGTATTACGAAGCTCTAATATTAACATCTGGTGTAATGCAAATTGGCTTTGCCACCAAACGAAGTCGTTTCTGTAACCATGTAAGGTTTAAATGACATGATCTTATTTAATAGCTTAAGTTTTTTATTTGTTACTGTTACAAAAATCTTACTGATATTTGCTTTAGGAGGGGTACGGTATTGGGGATGATGACTGTTCATTAGCGTATGATGGGTGCCGACAACTACTTTGGTACAATGCTAGAAGCGAGAAGCACGATCATCCTCCGTGGAAACCAGGTATTCTGTTTATTTGGTTTTCTCGGTAAGACACAATATTCTTTTTTAAAAAATTGAGTTTGTTTTTTTTAGGTGATATTCTTGGTTGTTTGATAGACATATCCAATAAATATGTCATGTTCTATTTGAATGGTGTACCTTTACCGAAGCCGCACTTTGAATTTTTGACTGGGATGCCTGAAGAGACTGGATATTTTGCCGCTGCCTCGTTCATGAGCTTTCAGCAATGTCGCTTCAACTTTGGCCATATGCCTTTCAGGTTGATTTGAACTAGTGGTTTTGTTAGAAATATTACTTTCATTTCTCTTCATTGTAAAAAAGCAAGGGTGTGAAACTTTTTATTTATTGTTGAATTAAATAAACAGGTACCCCCTACGAAACATAGATTTCAAAACATTCAACGACTATGGCTCTCTTACAAAGGAGCAAAGGACAATCCTTCCAAGGTTGGCATTATTCATTCTTTCTCGCTTTTACAGAAAGTAAAGGGTTTCTTCGCTTTTGCAGAAAGTAAAGGGTTTCTTTAATAGTTGTTAGAGGGTTTAGTTACTTTGAATGAGCATTCTTCTGGTCGATATTATGTATTTCAGGAGAAGAAAGATGGAATTGGCTGCTCAAACACCGATTGCAGAGAACTCTTGTAATATATGTTTTGCAAATCCAATCGATACTACATTAAAACCATGCGGACACGGGTTAGTCTAGTCTGGAATTTTAAGTGAATTTGTAATGAAAAAAGAAATTTTAAAGTTTTAGTTTTTAGATACAAAAACTTTTGGCTTTCTCTTTAAATTTTCTCAAAATTTTCAGTGGCTTCTGCTCTGTTTGTGCTAATCAAATGGAAACATGCCCGTTGTGTAGAGTAGTGATTATGCATCATGTTCGACTGAATTCAGACGTTACTGAAATTCACTCAAAACAACTTAATAATAATTACTTTAAAATTGCAACTAAGGTCTGACGAAGGGTATATGTCAAATGCACGGCAGCATTTTGGGAGTTTTTCATTTATGGGTCTATTGTTCGGGTCATTTGGCTTTGTATGAGGAAAATTTTTGTAATATGACAGTTACCGCTTTGCTTAAGTGTTACATTGATTTTGCATGATATGTGCGTATTTGTATGTGTATGCGTTTTTCTTTAATTTGTTTGAATTTGTTATAACAATAATTAGTCGTTTTTTATAGCTTTACTTTTTTTGTGTTCATTCTTCAAATCGGTTTTTCACTCTGAAGTTTTTGGTGACCATGTTTAATTAAGGACCAAATAACTTAATCGCTTTATTGTCTTATTGATACGAGTATCAAAGTTCTGTTAGTTAAGATTCTTCACCTTGAATAGTAATTTTTTAAGAACTAATATTAAATTTTTTTGGTAAAACCGCGCAGAGGAGGGCATAATATTGTAAACTTTTCTTATTTATAATTGTGACCGGTAGATCGTTTGGAAACAGTAGGTCGTGGTACAAAGGACTATATCTTTTTTCTTGGAGATGAGTGTTCTTAGGTACTGTTTACATTTAATGGTTTGTAGAGTCATAGTTTTATGACCCCATCTGTATAGTCCATGTTTTAGTTGCCATTTATCTGTATATTTGTGGCTCTTTTGTCGTTACTTCACTTACTGGTTTGTCTCGCATGGTTGATTAAATGTTCTAATTTTGTTCCTTTTTGCTTTCAAAGTTTATAAAGCTTGCTTTTATTGACGCATCATGTTTAAGGCTGGTTTTCTTTTTTGGGGCAGACTTAGACATTTGAATTCTTGCTTATTACGAGTAATCTTTTTCTGTTAAACTGGATTATCTTTGTTATTTAATAATGAACCTTATTACTACCAATCGATTTCGGTGTGCTACACTTTTTTATATTTTATTTTGTATTGCTTTCAGATGATCGTGATCTAAAAGGTCAGTTCGTAATTAAAAAATATATATTTCTTTTATACCGGATGTTGCACATGTCTTAGGACTTTGAAGTTTTCCGTTCAAGACGGTTCTAGAATTGGGAGGCTTGTTGGAAGTTGGATGGTTAATTTTCTGAAGAAGGGTCATTTAGATAATGAGAGTATTGTCTGTATCGTGAATGGTTTTCTTGACTGTGTGACGAAGCACCTGTTAATTTTGATATCGAAAAGGTTCGAAGATTCAGTAATTAAAAGGTCTCAAATTCTGGTTGGGTTTGCTCGAATAATGTTGTTCAGTGGTCGTCTGCAAGCGATTGTATGGTTTCTAATGCTTTCCGAGAAATTTTTTTGGAGACTCAGCTGATCGGTGTAGCTGCTTATCAAGTTCAACTGATTTTTCGTGGCTGAGAAGTAAGGCGGAGAAGGATGGGTTATCTGCCTATGATGTTTCTTTTAAAGTTAGTTTACTTCTTACATTTTACTTGCAGCATATCCAGGTATCTCATTTTTTTTTTAACACATTGAAACGTTTCTGAGTGTTAAAAGTTTGAAATTAGGCTGAGAAATGCATAGAGACGCCGGACTTATTTTTCGGTAATCTATTTTTTTCAAGTTTCAAAATTTAAATGCTTGGCGTAGGTTGAAAATTTCTACTCATCAAAGGATCAACTTTTAGATTGTTGATGCGGACTTAAAAAAAGCTAAAATTTGATATTGCCATTTGTGCACTTTTAAAGATTTAAACGGCATTAAAATGTTGATTAAAATGTCATTTGTTGCACTCTTTTGTTAGACTATGTTTGATTATGATAAGTGTTAGCTCATTTTCGTCTTTATCTAGCTGAAAATACGTGATTGAAGGTGTATTTAGGGTAATTTTTCAGCGGTTTATAAACAATGTGTTAACAAAAAAAAGGGCATTTTTATTTTTTAGAAACCGGCATCTAAAAAATTTTTCTGTAACGACAGTTTATGTCACGTGGATCAGATTTTTTTTTTTGTTTCATTGACACAATATTTTCCAACCAATTAATATTAGTGAATTTATTGATGAGATTTTTGTAGATAATTGAACAATGGGGACAGTTGGTTGGATATCGTTTTGTACTTTTAAAAATGAGTATCTTGTATTTTTTCAATACTCAACAAAATTTTATAAAATTTTTATTCTTTTATGTCTTCATTTCTTTTTCATCTGACTGACAAAAAAAAAAAAAAAAAACAGAAAGATGAAGAAAAAAATATTTTTATTAGTAGTAGGTGAAACAAAAAAAAAGAATTGAAGTTGGAATTGTATAGGTGGAAGTAGGAAGGAAAAAAGAAGAAAAAAAAGCAGGTTGAGAAAAGTGATATGCGTAAGTGCAGCAAATTTGATATGTTTTTAGTGTTATTCAAAGTTTGCTAAAAATGATTAAAATTTTGCAGTTCCAAAATGATGTGCGAATTTTTAGTAACAAAAAAAAAAAAAAAATTGACGAATGGACATCAAATTATCGGTGGATAAGATGGGATGCAGCAGAATAGCTTAGTTTTGCTTTATTAAACATTCGAAACGGGACTAATGGGACTAATTTTGCGAAAAGAAAGTTGTAGCAAGCAGTATGAAGTTGCTATAATTTGGCTCAGAAGTGCTGCAATTCCTGGCACCACCGATCTTCAGAGTCCACTGAAATCAATATCCGACAACTGTGTTGTTGTCAAAGTGTTGAAAATTAAGGCGTCACAAATCTGTTTCAGCTTTTCCTGAACATCGAATTAATGCTGAATTTGGTAAATACCGCACTTTTTTTTTTTAATGAGCACTTTTTTAAATTCAGAAGGGTCTAAAATGTTGAGATAAATGTTATTGAATTTTTGAATGAATTTGTTGAGTTGCATTCTTTGCTTTTTTCTATTTTTTTCAATGGATTAACACCGCATTTTTTCCACGGAAAGGGGTTTTGGAGAAAAGTTTTTTTTTTGTCTTTTTTTTTCATACGCAATCAGTTTATTTTTGGTTGCTGCACTCGCATTTCTTACTCTCGTTTTTCTTATCATCAGAATAAGATTATTTTCATTCTTGCATATTTCTTCTACAGCTTTTCACATATTCCTGACAGGCAAAAAAAAATGCTATTGTTTGATCAGATTTAAAAAACCTGCTAGTAGTTTGAACATTTTAGTCACAGCTGGTGAAAGCAGAGGATCATATTGGTAAGTGTCGCTTTTTCTTTGGCAAGGCAGCAAGTAATTTGTCTATTGGTCTTTGAAGTTACCTGAACAATATGGGCATTATGTAAGTTTGGACGTAATGAATCATTTGAGAATTTGATATCCTGAGCTATTTGTACTTAGGCTCAACTATAATGGGTATAAGCGAGATTTTAGATCAATAACTACCATGAAGACAAATTTTAGTCGTCGTTCATACAACTGGCCGGCAAGCTGAACTTTACTTTTCTGTTTTGTTTTTTCTTTTTCACACATTAGTTCTGTCTGTACAGTTCAGCAGATTCAGTTTGGCTCATTATTTACACTTAGCATTTTGCAAACTCTTCTAATTTACTTTTACTCCTTTGATAAATAAATGTTTCACATCTCTCTTTGGCCCATCCAATTGACCGCAGGGTCACCATTTTTTTACAATATTTTTTTGATACCGTCTTTTCACAATTATTTTCCCTAAAAAATAGATTACACGGTTTATATAATTTGATGACAAGTAGATCCTCAGTGTGACACTTCAGATCACGTTACTATAAGCACTATTTGACTTCTGTTTTAAGCGTTTGCCTAGGATGTTCATTGTATCAGAATTATTTGAAGTGACAATAAAGAAATGTAAAAAAAAAGCAAAACACATCTTAAGGTTTTTGCCGTTTTAAAACGCTTATTTATGGTATATGCATTTTGTTCTCAACAACTGTTCTACATCTAATAACTTAAACAACAAATTTAATTCTGCAACATTTATCGAAAACAAAACAAAGGCTTGAAATAATTCACCATAAACACTGCACCAATTCTTCGTTAAGCATTTGCATTTGCCATATTTCCGCCATCTGATAGGTAAAATTTCATATTTTTTCAAATACTGCTAAGTCTTTTCTATTCTTATCAATACAAAGCAGAAAGGATTTTTACTGCTTAAAATGATGTTGCAGTAATTTAAATATCCAGAATTAATGGCTGAGTAGGCATCAATAAGCTGAAATGAACTGAATATGGGCTTTTGGTGGACCAATATGACGTGTGGTACACAGAAACGTTGTTTTTATTGAACATTATCAACATTATCTACTTTGCTTAGCCTGCAAATTACATAGCTGAACAGTGAAGTTGCAAATGCAATAGCAAGTAGAGGAAGGAAATGCAAACATTCATTTGTGAAAAACGTTTGGATTTTTGTTTCCTATCATTTTCTAATTCCCCTGATGATGCGCTTCATTCTTAATCTTCATTTCACCAGTAACAAAATGAGTTTTAAAATTAAAGTCAAATTTTTTTAGGCATTCATTTTCACACCAAGAAAAAAAAATTGCTGTCTCAGTCACTGAATTCTTCACGATTAGCCCTCAATCGGTGAGTACTAAAATAATAAGTATTTACACCGGCGTCTATATCTTATCTAGTCTGATTCCAAAAGTATATATTCACTGAAATTTGGTCATTTAAACTAGTCATACTGGTTCACACTCTTGTCGGCCTAATTCTATTTATTGTATAACCTGGACATTACGGTAATTTCTGATCTGTAAAAACCATAAATTTTTGCAGCTTAGAAAAAGAAAAAACTTTTTGACGACCAAGAAAAAAAAATTTATTTTATCTAGGTTTAGAAAAAATAATCAATTGCATGTTTTATTCAATAAATTCATTATTACTCATATATACGTAT